TTYCCYTYCMAAAAAAAGGAAAAATCAAATACTTAATTTTGTAGCTCTTTTGAAACTCACAGCTTCTCATGAACCAAGGCTTGTACCGTTTATAGAGGTATAGATCTCTAGTTATGGATATAACCTTCATATCCTAGACAATTCATTCAATGTACAGAACCCATTGGAGGGGACATTACTGTGGCATGTGAACCTGGGATTTCTCAAAGCACCCAAAAATCAACAATGGAGAAAGTTCTGGATGATCAGTTAAAGGCTAGTAAGTTTGCAGCACCTGTTGATACATCCCAGAGGAGAGGATGTTATTACACAGAAATTCCCCGTGTTATCAAACAAAGAGGAGTTCATGGGCAAGAACTTACTTATTTGAATCTTGATAAGGTAATTAGGACCTGTATAAACTTTTTCAGCATAAAAGTGATATCATTGTGCTGCAACATTTGTTTATGGAAATTGTTTCCTAATTTACTTACGATTATTCTGACCTTTGTAGACTTCACTACTAGAAAAGTTACTGGAAAAAGATTTTGGAGGTTCAGAGGACCTACTTCTTGGGGAGCTACAGTTTGCATTCGTTGCATTTGTGGTTAGTACTGCCATGGACGAGTTTCCTCCTTTTGTTGTCAGATCTTTGTAACATCTAACATTATGCAGATGGGGCAATCACTTGAAGGATTCCTACAGTGGAAATCATTAATTAGCCTGTTTTTTGAATGCACTGAGGCTGTAAGTATTTGATTTCCAACCATGATGTGTATATTTTGAATATGTCCATTTATTATTTCCCGATTGAACTTTTAATACCACCTTTCTAAATATTATTTTGTTTGGGTGAAGCTTTTCTTCTACCATTTCTCATATTAAGAGTAGTTTTCTTTATCTGTTTGTATTATAAGCTTGTTTCCATGGTCGTAAGTGGTATTTACTGTACTTTGGAAGACATGGATGAAACCTACCATTCTTTCACCTTTTCACCGTGCAGATTTCTTCTGAATTCTAAGCCAACAGTTGTTTCTAGGAGTTCCACAGTATTTTATGGTCCTCTGTTTATTCTCCAAAGTTACATTTTTGGAAAAAGCCTCCTTTAGCGAACGAGTCCAACCATTTGTTTCCTAGAACCTATTTTTTGGGCCCTTATCTGAACCTGAAAGCCAGCCCCTTGTTTTATAAGATTTTTYCACATTTAGCTATGGAAACCAAGGGCATTTGGAGAAACCATTAGGAAAACATTTTTTAATACATAAGAGACAATTCACTAATTATGAAAGAAGGTCAGAAAACTTGCTCCAATTAGTGTTGATGGAGAAGTGATGACCGCACATTGAAAGAATGAAAAACCATTTGGGTCAATAGAGAACCCAAAAATTTGGTTGTAGCCCACCATTCCTTCTCATCCAATAGGAAGGACAATTCAACAATTTTTCTCTAGACTAACCTCTCAAAAGTTTTCATTTTATTTATTTATTTTTGATAAGAACCTCTCAAAACTAACACAGAACATTTCCCCGTATAACTTCGGCTCTTTGTTTGAAGGACAAACCATGTAGAAGTTTCTCTTAAGCATTCTAACACATTTCTTGGCAAGTAGCAGACTAGCACAAATACATTTGGGAATCTTTTATTTTATTTTATTTTGATAAGAAACAAAGAATTCCATTAACTATCAAAAAAGGGTTTAGGTGTGGATTTGCGTTGATCCCTCCCCTTTCTCTCTCTCTCTTATTCTTCCCTTTTTACCCTTTTCTAGGTTTTCGGTTTCCATTTCAATGGCCGCCACTGATGTTGAGTTTCGTTGCTTCGTGGGTGGCCTTGCCTGGGCCACTGACAGTCAAGCCCTAGAGGATGCTTTCTCTCCTTATGGCCATATCGTGGAAGCGAAGATCGTCAATGACCGTGATACTGTAAGGTCGAGGGGATTTGGATTCGTGACTTTTGCCAATGAGAAGTCCRTGAGAAGTGCTATTGAAGGAATGAACGGCCAGAACCTCGATGGCTGTAATATCACCATCAACGAGGTGTAGGCCAGAGGAGGCGGCGGAGGCGGTGGTGGTGGATACGACGGTGGATGCCGTGAGGGTGGTTACAACYGTGGTGGCGGTGGCTACGACGGTGGTGGAGGTGGATACGAAGGAGGTGGTTACGGCGGTGGACGCCGTGAAGGTGGATACGGCGGTGGCGATGGTGGTTCCCGGTACTCTAGGGGTGGAGGCGGCGGCGGATCTGAAGGAGGCTGGAGAAAACTAGGCGGCGGTGGCGCGTTATGATTTAGCTTTTGGGTTGGAAGTATTAGTGCGGTGAAATCCTAGCAGCCTCTTTGTTTTCTTTTGTGATGCTTTTACTGTTCCGTTTGGTGCCCCTCTTTTCTGACCGATGATCGATGGGTTTCGTGTTCCTCGTTATCGCTCTATGTTACAAGGAAAAAAAATATTACCTAAGAAAATGAAGTGCAGCTCTTCGTTCTCACTCCATACACAAAAAAAAGGGAGACAACCTATGGGCAAAGGATCGAGGAGACCCTCCCCTAAAAACTAAACAATGACAGCCTTCCAATTCATAGCTATCATATGTAGACTATAATTACAAAAGAATTTATTGTGGTTTATAGACCACCACAACGCAAGATGCTGTACGTTGTTGCAAAAACTTTCCTCGATAGAGTTCTTGTCTTTAAAAAACCTACTATTTCTCTCCTCCCAAATCGACCAAAGAACCRCCCTCACAGCGCAATTCCACAAAACATAGGCTTTGCCTTTAAGCAAACCTCCCCTAAAATTCTCAAGGATGAGATGATCAATTCTTCTCGGAAGGCAAAGCAAAATGCCAAACTCAGAACGAACAAAGGCCCAAGCCATATTAGCAAAGGAGCAGTGAAGAAAGAGGTGGTCAAGCAATTCTGCCGACCGTTTACAAAGCCCACACACTGAGGGAGAAAGATTCCACAAAGGAAACCGTCTTTGTAGTTTATCTGCTGTATTTAAACTTCTATAGAACAAGGTCCATAGGAATGATTTCACTTTCTTCGGAATCGTGAAGTTCCATATGTAGGAGGCAATGGGGGCTTTCAGTTTAAGAGAGGCCTTGGACAAAAGAATGAAGGCTAATTTTTCTGAGAAGGACCCACTGCTATCCCCTTTCCACCACAATTTGTCCTTACCAATGCCTGGCTGCCAAAACTCAATCTTTTCCGTAAAGCTTGCCCAGCGATGATGCTCTTTTTCAAAAAAGTTCCTTGTTGGAATATATAAACATGTATTAGTTGTCTTTTTAAATCTTTATATTTTTTAAATCTCCTATTCCTTTATGTAGTAGGTTTCCTTTCTTTTTAGTAGGTCTTTCTCCTATATAAGAAGACCTAAGTTGCACTATTTGTATATAGAAGAATATTTTTTATTCTCTTAAATTTAACATTCCTCCTAAACCCCGAGTCCCAAGCAAGGCTGGAGGGCTCCCAACACTCAGCCAAAGAACATCCTTTCTTGTTAGAGATCCTATACAAGTAAGGAAAAGAGTAAGAAAGGGGGGAAGAGTCAGCCCACCCATCTTCCCAAAATCTCACAGTATCTCCCTTTGAGGCTTTGAAGGAAATCAACTTCTCAAAGCTTCCTCCATTCCTTGCAATATCTACCCAAGGCCGGCCTCTATAAGAGCCATTAGTTGGAGTAGTAAACCAACCATGTGTCTCAATACCGTAAATCGCTCCAACAATACATCTCCACGAACCTTTTTCCTCATGTGCAAATCTCCACAGCCATTTGAAGATGGGTTGGGAATCTCTACCAACACGAAAAGATGGTTTTGATTTTCCTGGTCTCTATTGCACATCTCACAACCCTGGGAGAGATAGCCATGAATAGTTTGCCTAATATATTCAAGACTAGAAAACATAATTTTCTAAAATTTGAGATTTAACAGTTTTTGAATCTACTACTACCAAATACCATTTTTAGAAAGACAGTGAAAACACAAAATTTAATTCTATTTTCATTTTCGTTTCATGAACCAAACCAACCCTTAGCATTGGAGTAGGAATGTGAAATCGTTTAACATGGTTTCATCTTTTTACTAGTTCTTTTCTGGATGTACTTCCACTGATTCTTGTTCTTTTAGGCTTGGGGATGTCTTGCCTTTGTGACTACTTTTTGTTCCATTTCATAGAATTAAATTTTTATCTCTGATAAAAAAGACCATACCATAGGTAAACTGTGGATTCCTGTTCACTCTCTTACGAGTATGCTAACAGTCATTTACTTTATGTTCTATTTTATTGTTCCTTGGATTTAAAATCAGAGGCATGGTTTGAATACAATTCATTTTTTCTTTTTCCAGCCAAAGTGCATATTCTTTTGGTTGCAACATCTTTCTTCTTTGTATAACAGATTGTTGTGAGGTTATCTGACCTTGGATGAAAAAGATCATGGTTATAGTTTGCATTTCTTGTTCCAGCCGAGTTATATAATATGCATTTTAAAATTTCACATTTTGTTGCAGCCTTTTCGTACAAGGAGTCAACTATTCACAAAGGTGTGTTTAATGATCTTTAATTATTTTGAATGTTAKTGTGATGTCCCTTTATTGTTTATTGCTGTCATGCTGCACGATTTACTGTAGAGGCACAATTTTGAAGACATGGGATTTCATTCTTCAGATAAAGGAGTAATATTAGTTACCTAATGAGGGCCTTATCACAGAGGCTATTTGCTTGACTTTAAAAATGTGACAGTGTCATGTTTTCTCCCGTTGGTTAAAGGAACAGGAATTTATGAATTCCCTAATGATGGACTAGTCACTTGTAGTATTAATTGCATTTTTCATTAGGAAAGGTGCATTAGGAATATTTACTGTGGTTTTCTTTCTTTCTTTCTTTTGTTGCAAAGTGCAAATTGCCTTTCTAAAAGCTCTAAGTTTACATCGTTAAATCTCAGCCTCCAATGACAACTCTCCAATTCTCTGATGATACCTAAGCTGAAAATGCACTTGCAATTTTTGTTAGCCCTCATCATTTGTGTTAGTTCCTTTTATATTGCTTTTCATCCCTGTACATGGTTTTTCTCCTAGTAACCAACTTTTCAAGTTTGTGAGTTTTTTTTTTTGTGTATTCTTTTCCTTACCTTCTCAGCAGTTTTGGTTTTGTGGACCCAATTTGTCTTTCAAATCTGTATTTGCCTCTTGGAGTTTATTTGCTCGTTGGTACTTGGGAATCCAGTCTTGTCAGGTTGTTGCATCGTTTCTCTTTTTTGCGAGTGCCAGCCGTTCTTGCCTTCTTCTTCTGCATGTCCTTTCTTCCTCATATGAACACACAGTCCTTTTTTGCTATCTATTCAGTCTTTTTTCTTTCTTCTCTCTCTCCCTCGCATTCTGCATGTCTTAAATTGTTGTTGAGAGTTTTACCAAGTCTTTCTCATATGAAAGAACAATCCTCTTTGATATCTAATAAATATGGTATTTTAGCATATATGTTGTAATCTTGTTTGACACTTTATTCTGTTATTATTAACTTTGTTTCTGTTTTGTTTGTATATCTGACATTTCATAGAACCATTGCAGTTCATTAAGGTCATCTATCATCAATTGAAGTACGGATTAGAGAAAGACAATTCCAATAGCACTAGTACTGAGGCAGGATCATCAACAATTTTAGATGAATCATGGTTTTCTGCTGATAGTTTCTTATATCATCTATGYAAGGTAGTTGGTCATTAAATCATCTTTTATGCATGTTCTCTTAATTCCTTATTTATGTTCTTCAAAATTAGCCTAAGGCTCAACAAGTGATTATCAATATATATATATTGACGGAGGTGATTATTAGGGAGAAAATGACGTTAAGGGGTCCGAACCAAATATCTTTTACTACCACTATAATCAAAGCTTAATCTGGTAGATTATGTATATGTATTATTTTAGACATATTAACACCTATCTTGCGTCTAATATTTTGTTGTTCATATGCTCAGTGTTCCGAAAATGACGCCTCCATTCAAAGAAGCGAGACGTAGAAACCGAGGTGCACATCTCTAGCACTAAGGCGCTCACCTCAAATGTGCTGAGGCACCTAGGGAGAATTTTCTAGGGTGTAGTTTTCAAAACACTGATCATATAGACAACTTTTTTTTTAGATAAGAAACTTTGTATTAGCAAAAGCATAGAAACACAAAAAAAACAGCCTAAGGGCAGGGGGAAGAGGAATCCCCCTCCCAAGAACTTCAAAAGAAGAGCTCTCTAGTCTTGCATAATCAAAGAGAGATTATAATTACAAAAAAATTTTCTATGCCTATGACACCACCATGAAGTGTAAATTAACTGTATTACAAAAAACTTCAAAAGAAGAATTCTTATCTTCGAAGATTCTAGCGTTCCTTTCCAACCAAAGATTCCACAGAAGAGCTCTAACTGCGCAACTCCAAAGGATTTTTGCTTTCCCTCTGAAAGGCCACCCTCTTAGAGTTTCATATAACCACCTTTCAATATTCTGAGGAAGGCAAATGGAGAAACCAAAAATTTGGAACAAATAAGACCATCCACGTGAAGCAAACTGGCAATGAAGGAAGACATGGTCCATAGTATCCTCGTTCTTCTGACATAAAGCACAAACTGGAGGAGAGAGGGTCCAATTTGGACACTTTCTCTGGAGTCTTTCTGTGGTATTTACAGCCCTGTAAGCTAGAGTCCATAGGAAAACTTTAACTTTTTTAGGGATAGAAAACTCCCATACGAGAGAAGATATGGGGAAAATTGACAAAATAAGCCTCCTGTAGGGCCTATTAAGTTTTTTAATCGCCCTTCTTAAAACACAAGTTTTCTAATCATTTGCTGACATCACCTACTTTGCCAAATGACCTCTAATGCCCCTCCTTACTTGGGTACCAAATTTTAAGTTTTCCCTCCTCCCCTTCTTGGGTAAWATACCAAATTTTAGTTTTCCCTCCTCCCTTACTTGAAAACACTCCATTTCTCTCTCATTATTTTTCCTTGTTTTGCTTCTCTCATCTACAGGCRACTCTCGATGCTTRAACTCCAGCATCTATCGGTCTTYCATTTCTMTCTCACTATTAGGGTTGTTTTGCTTCTGTCATCTACAGGCCACTGACTGTCGATGCTCAAAATCCATTATCCATCGGTCTTTGTTTTGAAATGTTTCGTTGGGCTTGTTCGCATATAAGTTATTTATTTGTTTGTTTA